TATATGTCACCCAGATTTTACTTTACTCTTCATTAATTTCATGGTCTAAGCTAATTGCATTTGTGGCATATGCTTCTAGCTACTCTACCACATGATCAGATTTTAAATATCTCCAATAAAATACCAACTTTACAGAGCAAACAGGTTTCTCAACATTACAAGCTGACCAGTAACTTTGCTCTGAATTCTTTGAAAGTTATTAAAACAAAAGTTAAATGAGAAGTTGTTACATAAGTGCAGTAGTTTATAAGGATCAACATCCTGGGCCATGAATCATAATTGTGTAGTAATTTGCAAAATAGCTGATTAGTAATGATTTCTTAAAGGAATAAATGTTTGAATACATTGTAAAAGATAAACTATTCTTTTTTACTTGTTTCCTCCTTCCCAATGCCAAGGACATACCTGGAATTTCCAAACAATTATAAAAAACAAATAAAAATTCAGATGGACTAAGGGGCTTCCCAGTTATAAAAGAAAATGTCTGCATGCATATTGATACCTATGGTCACCATTTGGTGGGGGTGCGGATGGGCATAAATACTGCATGAAGCTTTTAAAATCTACAATCCTAGGATTTGGTATACAAAATGGTATACAAAATCATACATTGCAATGTCCTACCTGTCAATGAATACTTCAGCTTCAACCATAACAACACAAGAGCACACAATAGATACAAACTCAAAGTTAACCGCACCAAACTTGATTGCAGGAAATACGACTTCAGCAATAGAGTGGTCAATGTCTGGAATACTCTACCCGACTCTGTAGTTTCTTCCCCAAACCCCAAAAACTTTAACCTTAGACTGTCTACTATTGACCTCACCCCTTTCCTAAGAGGTCTGTAGGGGGCGTGCATAAGCGCACCAACGTGCCTACCGTCCCTGTCCTATTGTTTCTCCTATTCTTTTATTTTTCTTATATGTAACCATTTCATGTATTCACAACTATGTATACATTTATACTTATTATCTTGTAAACAATTGGCAAATCAAATAAATAAATAAATAAATAAATAAATTGTTAAGTCAATGATATGATTATACGTGAATCTGTGTTCCCCAT